CATTTGATTATGTCAAGCCTTTCCTGAGCACTGAAATTAAATGATTAAAAATCGCTTTTTTATTCTGATTAGTAACTTCAATCAACTTTTTTCTGTACTTAATAAACCTATGTATTCACAAATTTTCTGATATGATTCATTGTCAAATGATGGTATTTCTGTTTATTTTTAATTCTGAAAGGTTTATATACTTAATATTATTCAACATCAGTTAGGAGATTCAGAAGAGCAATACAATTTCAAAATACTCTTATTATATTTGCGTTGTTAATAGAGCAATTGGCCAGTCATAATGAAGTCATGTGAATGATGCAATATGCCAATCTCCTAATTTAGAATTTTGAAAATACTGAGAATTCTGCGAATTCTGAAAATACAGAAGATCGATGTAATTCTAAAGATCTTTTAAATACTGATGATAATCATAATTTTATAAATTAAACAAAGTCTAAGAATATTTAATGTTATATGTATTTTTAATATTCTAAATTTTATTATTATTTTTATTATATTTTATATTTTTATTTTACGTATTTTTATTCTCAATATATTTATTTTACTTATTTTACTAAATTAGTTAGTTTATAGTATAGTAAATAGTTAGTTGTAACAAAAGAAATTTTGTATAAATAGATAAACTATTGCTTATGTTGTAAATTAACTCTTTTATAAATATGAGTTTCAATATTAATAAAGGAATCAATTAAAACTTATATCTTTCTGCCTCTTTGTGTCTTCATATAGTCTGACATGACCTTTATACATTATTTGTAATTGAGTTCGTCATCTGAATTCTTTAATTAAAACTGTTCATAATCTCGTCTTTCAAGTCTTCATACTTGATAGATTTGTTTAAGTCTAACGTGTAAATTTGATAGAGTTAAGAGTTAGGCAGATCCTAATGTCTTGACTGCAGTAAATCACAGTTAGAAATTTTGAGTAAAGACTTGATAATGTGACCACCTTAAGTTAAAGAATTCCACAGTGACAGCGTGATAGATAATCTATTGAAGATGACTGGAATTTGCTAACTATGCATTTTTTTGATTCATTAACCATTTTGTTTTTAGATCATAATCACTTTTCAAATACATTATATATCATTCCTCAGAAACCCAATATGGATGAATTTAACTTAAATAAGCTCAAGTTTTTAAATTGTCCTGTAGCTGCGATAAATGCTATTTATACAGATAATAATAAAGTATATAAAGCAGATTTTAACATTGTAAAAGGGCTTAAAGCTTATTTGTTACTAGTAAGAGATGTGAAAATTATGCTTAGACTAACTTATAGACTGAAGTTGAGTTAGTTAATAGTTCAGTAGAGATCATTGAAAAAATCATTTTTAAAGAAAATTAGGGTTCTTCTTCTCTTCTTAATGTGATTCTGATAGAATTCAATAACTATTTTAATTCTACTGTTGAAATTGTTAAAAGTAAAAATTGGTTCTGATTATATCCATTAGACATATCTAAAAAGAAAAAAAAGTTCTTGCTCATATTTGCAAATTCTCATTTATCTTGCATGAATTGTTACAGTATATATAAATTAAGGTTTGATAATGCAAAAGACCTTTATAGATCTTAGTAAAAAGGAGTTTGCTGTCAGTCTATCATTTGTGACAATATCTTGTATCTATGTTTTTAAAAATATCATCTTTAATCTATTTTTATTTGAAAGACTCCAATATGTTAAAGCTTATAAGAGACTGTAAGAGAGATTAGCTGAAGAAAGATGCTTAATTTCTATAATTTCTTAAAATATTTTTTGATATAAATATTTAAAAATTAAAAATAAAAATAAATTATAAGTTTTATTGAAATTTTTTATATAATCCATTTAATTTAATTTAGCATTGCAATTATGTATAACTTTGATCATCATAATGTAAAATTAATTATATATAGAAAATATATTATAACTATTATGTTTCAAATACTTTAACAGTCTTATTACTTAGTATTATAAAATTTATCATTATTCTTATTTATTCTATAATAAAATCTAGTCTAATGATCTTAAGCTAGTTCATATTATATTATAAATATTAAATAATATATTTTGACTATAATCACAATCAAAATAAAAATATGAATTTTTTACAATAACTATTCATAATAATAAATAGTATATTCAGAATTAATTGAACATATTCAGAATAAGTATCAATAATATTATTATTTAAAATAAATTATGTTAAAATCTTACTGATTTTGTATATTAAAAAGATAAATTGCTTAAATTATTTATTATTATTTATTTAATTATTTTATTTTATATTATTTAGAATTTAATTTAATTTATAATATAGCAAATAATTTAGTTATAATAATAAAATAATTTTTTACTTTAATTATAAACTAACTTAAATACAAGTTTAATATATAAAATAAATAAATCACTTTATAAAATAAACTTTTTTTTTTTATTTTTTATTTAAAATTGATTATGAGATATTATACTAATTTGTATTAAATTTATAATTTAATTTATTACTAATTTTTTATTAATAAAATAATAAAAATATATGTAAATATATTATTAAAAAATAAATAAATTTTTAAAATTAGAACTTTTTAATATTGATTTATCACAATAAATAAATTGAAAAATAATGATATTTACTAAGTAAAATCTTTGAAAAAAATTATAAAATATAACATATATATTAATTATCATTAAAATTAAAGAATCAAAATAAGAGAAATCAATATCTTAAAATTATTAATTAAATTTTTATAAAATTAGTATTATCATATTTTATTATAAAAAAATTTTTAAATAATATATTATATTTTAAATTAATAATTAAATATTAAAATAATTAAAGTAATAAAAATTTTACTTTTTATATTTTTCTTTACTATCTTATTATAAATTATTAACAAATAAAAATTTTGTAAACAATCATATATAATTTTAAATTCTTTAAATATTTAATATAAATTAAACTAAAATTTTAAATTAATTTAAAAAGTTTACATTTTTTATAATCTAAAATTTTAAATTAAATTATTAAGTTTTAATTGATTTTTAATTTTTATTTTAATTATATATATATATATTATTATTAAAAAAAAAAATAAAGAAATAAGTTAATATAATAATTTTAAAAAAATTAATATTAAGTATTAGTAAAAAATAAAAAAAATTTTTATAAATCTAAATTAAATAAATAAAATATTAAGTATTTAATAAAATTTATTAAAAATTAACAATTACATAAGTGTTTTGTAATAGAAAGAATTTTATTTTATATGTTAATTATGACTTATTTTTAGTAAAATAAGTTTAGGTTAAAATAATTATATATATATATACAATTATTATAATTATTTGTTTATAAAACTATAATTTAGATTATTAAGCCTATAAATTTTTTTGATAGTAGAAAGAGAAGAAATTATAAAAAAAGTAAAGTTTATTTTTTATGCTAAATATATTAATTTTTTTCTAGATTTCTCTTTTTTTAAAATACTAAATTTATTTCTAATTAAATTAATTAAATCTTTAATTAGATTAATTATTAAATAAGGTTTAAGCATTTTAGTTGATATATATATACTGATTTATTTATATAATTTTATATTATTTTTTAAATTTAATTTTGTTTTAATCTAAAAAAGATAAATATCAATAGTTTTTCTTTAACTTAAAAATCATATAAATGTAAGTAAAATTTTAATCGATATCACATGATTTATTTATTTTAATATTTTTGTCAAATGGATCACCACATGATCGCAACTAAACATTAAAACATGTAAAACATGTGATTAACAGCGGAGATCTAAGATGCTAAGAAGATCATTATAGTAGCATAGTGTAACAATTCATCACATTATAAACTCCGAATTCACACTTTTAAACACTCCCTTTTCATAATTGTAATAATTCTCTTTTTTTTTGTCATAACAATGGATAATTTTCAACTATGTAAGGATGAAATAAGTCAATCAAAATTATTATTACAATTGACAGGAAGACACCCACCAGTTAAGGCGGAAAAAGTTAATACGAATGCATTTCAAACATCCATTATTGTGACATCGTCGTCACAATTGCAAAGTATGCAAACACCACAGCTTTCGGCAGTTCTTAAGTCTGAGGTTAGTGTTAGTACACCGTCGTCACGGAAAAAAAGTTTGAAAAACTCGGAAGTACCTAATGTTATTTGGAAACCATTACTTCCACGACCACCAAACCCTATTGTACCTGCTAAGCGGCGGCTGCCTACACCACCTGCAATGCCTTCAGCTCCCGGAACTCCAATAACTCCACGGGAAGAGGATTCTAGTACATCACCACCAGACACCCCTTTAACTGTTAAGTCAGATTTAATGCCAATGTTGTTGGAAGCTGCTGCGCATGCTGCTCTTCGAGATAAACGTCAAGAGCGTATGGTTAAAAATCGAGCTGCGGCTTATGAAAGTCGTAAAAGAAAGAGAGAAGAGGCTGAAAGATTGACGACTGAAAATTTGGAAATGAAAGCTCATATTCGTGAACTGCAGCATAAGATCGTCGAGTTAACAGTCGAGAATGAACGATTCAAACAATTACTTTCAACAAAAAAAAACTAGAATTACTGAATTTTTGATAGTAAGATTAGAATTATGGATATTTTTATTTTGTATTTTATTTTTCACGTGTATATTTGTATTTATTATTATTCACGCATAAAGAAGGGTGATTGTAATAATTTTCGGAGGTATTATCATCACACACAACATGGCATATTTATCAAATAAATCAATTTTTTTTTCATACATAGTATTTATTCAACGTATTTTTTTTTTTATTGTTTCGTGTTAATGTTCAATTTTCTCACGTGATTAAATATTAAGGTTATAAATATTTTTCCAAATTGAATATAAAGTACTAATATTATTTGCAGCCATCTTCTAATATAAATTAATGGATGAAATTTTTTTTTTTAATTTATCAAATAAATGTCCAAAACTTTGCTTATTAATCAATTATTATAATATTGATTTGATTTATTCAGGATCTAGACGTCGATTCCTCATAGCACGTGGTTGTCTTGATTGTGTCGGCGGTATTGTTGGTGGAATGGAATTACCAACAGCCAAAGGAACATCGTCGTCTTCATCATCTGATTGTATATATGGCACATAATTTTCATGATAAGAACCTCTTTGTCCAGGTATTGGTTCCAAATATTGTTGACTTCCAAGAAATCTACTTGATCTTGGATCTACACCCACTGGAAGTCCAGTATAAGACTGTCGATTATATAAAAACTCTCTTTCTCTTTCCACCATCATAGCTTGCTGTCGTTGTTCCATTAATCTACGTTCCCTTTCCCTTTCGAATGCTCTCTCCCTTTCTAATTCCGCTTGCCTTGCCAATAATCCTGGACCCTTTGCTCTTCTTTGATTTTCTCTTGCAGTAATGGCTCCAACTAATCCGGTTTGTGGATCCTTTTGTCTCTCTTGTAAATTAATCAAGGGTGCCCCTGTCTCCCGAGCGAGAAATTCTTGTTCACGAGCTGATAATTGTTGAGATGGTGGTCTTGAATCTATTAAACTAATTGGTCGAAAATGGCTTGGTGTCTGAAATTGACCCCGATCATCATAACTATCATCTAAATATAAGGATTCTCGTGTATAATCTATTTGTCCACTACTAACACGTCTTCGACCTGCCATCATAGGTCCAGGATTTATCATTGACCTGGGTCGCCCCCCAACATAATCTTCATCGTAATATTCGCCACCCCGAATGAGTGGTGTCATTACACTACGTCTATTATCTATCGGTGGATAACCGAAATTTTCCACATAATCGCCTGGTATTGGTGGTCCCCCCCATCTTTGATTAGGTAGGTAATTTGGAGATATTGACCTAGGTGTTATGTTTTGTCTACCAAAATTAGCGTTAAATCCAACTCCTTCTTCGACTAATGCAGCCAATGGTTCTTCTTCTGATGTCGTTGATTTGGTTTCAGATTCATCGCTACTGATATCACTCGATCTATTCTGCCTCGTTGCATTCTTTGGTTTGTCTTTTTGTTTTGTTGGCTTGAATACCTTTCCTGTTCTATTCAAAAATTCATCATCATCATCATCATCCTCATCGTCAGATGAAGATGATTGTTGTGAATACTTTTTTCCTTTCTTGCTCTTATTAACGATTTCTATTGTATTATTCGCAGGTTCATTCGTAGCAATATCGAAATTTATCGCACTAAAATCTATGTCTAGACCTACCGTAGACATTTCAAATTGATAATCATCTTGTTGATTATCTCCTTTACGAAATTCATCAGCTACGTTTTCACTAGTAAGTATGTTACGATTACGCACAGGATTTCTTCCTAATGGAATATTGTCATTGACATCGTTTTCAAAACTTCCTTGAGGATATAAATGTTGTTGAACTTGTGGAATAATATTAACTCGAGGCTGTTTTAATACAGACCCATAAGGAGGTGATTGTCGATATGGTCTTGGTTGAGGTTGTGCGCCAAATTTTTTATCATCATCGTTTAATTCTTCATTATCATCACTACTGTCGGATGGTTGAGGCACAATTCTTGTTTTCGTCTTCTTATTGTTTCCTTTATGACCAGGTTTAGCAATAACATTTTTATTCTTCAGACTAGAATCTTCGCTACTGTCTTCATCACTATTATTTTCATCACTCTTGGTCATTGAAGATTCTCCTTCACTCTCATAACTATCTTCACTATCAGATGGAAGTGGGGCAAGTCTTTGCTTATTTTTACCTTTCTGCTTTGCGGGTTGATTTTTAAATGAAACTCTCCTTTTAGGTTTGGTTGACGCATCTCCTGTAACAGGTTCATCTTCACGCACAGCAACAGCAGTCATAATTTCGGACATAAGGTCAGTGTCTTCAAATGTTCCAAGGCTACTTCCAAAGTTAATTTGCTCATCTGTTTTAATTTTTTCTAAAATTTTTGCATTTTCTTGTGTATTTTTTAAGAGTGTTGGGTCATCGTTTTCATCATCTGAATTTTCACTTTCAATTGGTGAATTATTATCTTCTTGTTGATCTTCTGATTCATCGCTACTAGCTAATTGTTTAGCTGGCTTTTTACTTCGTTTTTTCGACTGTTCTTGTGATGACATAATGTTAGGAGCTAAAGGTGAATGTGGTGATATGGGCGAAGTCGGAATTGAACCTTTTTGAGAACCTCCGGTCATGGAATTAGGACGTGAGGATTGACTTACAGGTCTCAATGTAGTAGGGGAAATTGAACTTGTTGATGAAGTAGTAGATTCACCTGAAATTGCCCTTTGACGAACATAATCATCTGATAAACCATCAGTCACAATCTGAGGAAGAATTTGTATACTTAAATTTTTTTGCTGATTTACACTTGTAAGTAGTTGTTGAGAATTATCAGGTGATTGTAAATTATAAGATTGACGTAAAATTTCAGCAAACGCAGCTTTCACATCCGCTAACGATTCACGAACTTCAACATGTTCTATTTCATTAAGATCTAAAAATAACTTTGTGTTATTCCTGCCAGTTGGTACAGCAAAAAAGGGAGAAATTGGATCTTTAAAATCATATAATAATTCTTTTGGTCGACCATATAATTTAAAACTATCAAAAAAGCCAAAAAGCCATTTTGTCATTTCATTAAGTGAGTCTGTTGTTAAAATGGCAAAATCACCAGGTTTATTTTCAGTTGGCTTTGTAAGAAACAGAGTGCCTTCAACACGAAAAGTAACTGTTTTTTCTATAAGGGAGGGACTTTCAGGATAAATAGCGTAAGTTTGAAGAACGTTTGCTACAGTCATGAAAGGCTTTTTTGATCTTTTTGTTTCATAAAATAAAGCTTGTCCTCTAGTAAATGCTAAATCTTTTTTCTTTTTTTCCTCAGCACGGTGATCCGCTACCACGACCCAATATTTTTTAGATTCAAGGTTACCAGAAAATTGAACTTGAAGATAACCTTCTAGCTTACCCTTCATTAATACAGTTCCATTACCAAAATCTTTTAGTCCAGGACGTCTTATTAGAGTTGCTGTGTAAACTTCTTGTAATCTTGAACCTTCAAAACAAGATAAACGAATTGCATTAACCCATAAATTTAAAGTTTTATCATCCGAAGTTTGTAAATAGGATTTTTCTCCCTGGCCGGAATCAAGAAAAAAAACATGCATCCGTTGATTCATACAATTATCTTGTGATAAATCTATTGAAGAATTAGATATATTTATTACGGAGGGAGTTTGAGACACTCTTGTTATTTCAGAATCAGGATCGTTCACTGTTTTCCAAAAACTTAAGAAAGGACCACATAATTCCACGTAATACTCTATCCAGTCATTATTAGAACTATTGATCTCTTGTTTACATAAATAACCTTCTATATAAATTTTTTGCGAAAAAACATCAAAAAGATGCAAAACGGGACGCATGTCAGGAGTTACTTGATCGGACTGAAAAGATGGCCTACGTGACCTTTGCTTCCTTAAGGTGGTTGGGCGAAGAGTGGAAGATCTCGGTCCAGGAAAAGTATTATAACCTTCTACTGTTTCCTTTGTGTTTGAAACCGAGTTCAAGTTTGAAGTACTTGTTGGTAAAGGCGTATTTGTTGTAAAATCTGCCATCGTACTCGAATCGGAAGATTGTTGTTCAGGATTATTTTGTATTTCGTTTTGTTGTATAAGAAGTTGTGAATTTGGTGATGATGACCGGCTATTTCCTGCCATTTCAACCGAAGGATGTGAGAGAAAAACGGGGATACGTTTTTTTTTTTATTTTTTTTTTTTTAAAAAGAAAAAAATTATTATTTGAATTATAATAAAAAAAATTTTTTTTTTTTTTTCTGGACATTTTCAGGTTTAGCGCATTACCATATTAAAGGTAAAATTAGAAAATGATTCGTTATATTGTGGTATTTTACACAAACAAAATAAAAGCAATCCATAACTATTATGCATTAATTTTTTTAGGATTTTACTTTTTTGTTTATAATTGGCTTGAACTCGGCCGGACAAAATTTTCAAAAATGTATAGTAGGTTAACTTACTGTGAACTATCTACAAAACATTCCGAAATTTCCGGGTAATTTCTTATTAGTTCAAAATAAACTGTTTAAACTGGTTGTTGATTTAGTTCATATATATATATATATTACATTATGTGGTGACACATTGGTGTCAGTTTTGTTGACAATGTATAACCTTCCAAAAATTATTAGATTTCATCATATATTGTGGTGTTTATATTGTTGCAGATAAAGGGTATTTCGTTCCCAGAACTTCATTACAGTAATATGTAATTGTATAAAATGGTACTATGACGCTAATAGCATAAAACATGGCGCATATCTGATAACAATAAATTTCTTATAATTCGAAAAAATAATATATATATATAAATCACAATAATCAAAAAAAAAGATTTATATATTTATATTTTATTCTTGTGCTTTCGATCCCTCTCCTTATTTAACGTGTAGATTTGAAAATAATTTGCTTTTACTGCGTTTTTGCGTTGTTTAGCAAATATTATAATAATAATAATAATATAATAATAATAATAATAATTAAAAAAAAAAAAAAATAGCAAATGTCAAGATTACCAAAACATCCTACTACTAGCGGAATACCGTCTTCAGGTCTTCCCTCACCAGGGGGGAAACGTCGCTCATCAGCTGGCACTACAGGAAAGTCTACACTTAACCTTAAAGAATTGACTCCAGAACAGGAAGCATTATTACAAGCAGCCATGGAAAGATATAATCCGTCAGCTACTACCAAATCGAATGAAAATATTCAGACCAGTTCTACCTCAACGCTCGGAAATATTCAATCACTCCCCTTAACACAAGCTACGAATAACCAACCAAATATTCCTTCAAAAAAACCTGGTGGAAGAAGACAGAGTATTTCCAGAATGACACGTCCAACACTTCCACCGTTATCTGAAAAATCACCTGTTAAACAACCTTTAACAATGCAGCATACATCTCCTACTTCATCAAAATTATCAAGTAATTTTGGTTTACCTCCACCAAACTTATCTTCACCACTTCAACGTTCGCTTTCAGGTCAAAATCAAAATTTTTCGGGTTCTTCGACATTGCCTTCGGCATTAAATCCCGCTCACCAACGCCTACAGGAAACACCTCAGCAACGTCCAACCTCTCCTTCGCTTGCTTTGTTTTCAATAGGCGAACGAGTTACCGTTGTTTCAATGAACATTTCAGGTACTTTAAAATTTTTGGGTCCAATTGATGCTAAGCGCGGAACTTGGGCCGGAATAGAAGTGGATGTTCCAGGAACAGGTAAAAATGACGGGTGTGTGAACGGGTAAGTTATATCTCACTCTTATTTTATATATATATATTGATTAATAATAATAATAATAATAATAAAAAATAAGAAAAATATTTTTTTTTTAAATCTTGTTTAACGAAATTCTAAACTAAGTTTAAGTATATTTAAAAGAATAGGAAAAAAAAAAAATTTTTTGGACTTATCATTCATTTTAATTTGTGAATTAAAGATAATAATCAATACGATTTTAATTTTTTTTTTTTTTTTTAGAAATAATACATTTATTATATTTATCAAATCTCATCAAAATCATAACGTTGTTGGTGTCCTTTTTTTTTTTTTTTTTTTAATACTATTATTATTAGCAAATCCTATTTTACTTGTCCGCCAAAATCGGGTATATTTGTTAACTCAACTAACCTTACCAAGTTCAAGGAATCTAGAGATGCGCCAAATTCACCACAAATGCCTTCAGCTAACAAACCTAACGCGTTGATACGATCACCTTCTACTTCAAGTAATTCAAGCGATAAAGCATCACCTGGCACTCATGCTCAAAACGCAGCCATAGCGGCTGGTCGTATTACAGCCGGTTCCCGTGCTTCAAAATATATTGGCGTCACAGCTTCTCAACTTAAACAAAGAGCTTTAGCCAAACCATCAAGCATATCCTCAACTTCTGATAATGTTCCTAATGGACAAATAACTTCACCTAAGACTAAGCCAACATTAGGATTAGGACTCATGAGACCTGGTTCCCTCCAAAATTTAAAGTCACCGTCTACACCTCCATCTAATGGTAGGCAATATCGTAACAGGAGAGATTCGTCATCATCTACCGGATCGGCTGTATCAAATATATCTCAACCAGCATCTTATGTTCCTAAGACATCATCAGTTTTACCTCGTTCACGATCTATTACACCAAATCTTCCAAATGATTCGCAACATACTTCTGATAGTGAGAATAATATTAGAGAAGAAATGAGCAATAAATCACTTCAAGAAAAAATTCAAAAATTACTCAGCGATCCGGATACTCCTGATAGTGTTCCTCTAGGTTTATTTGATCAACAAGCTCTCCGAATTCAACAATTACAAATGAAAATTGAGGTATTAGAAACCGAAAACACCCATTTGAAACTTCATAATAAGAAATCTCAAACTCCTCAAGAAAATAATGATATCGAAAAGGTTCAGTGGGAAAAGGAGAAACAATCTATTTTTGATGAGAGAGAATTAAGAGAAAAAGCCTTGAATGATAAAATATCAGATTTGTCCAGGCAACTTCAAGAAGTTGTTATAAAGGGACATCATCATAGACCAAGTACTTCTTTATCAATGATCGCTGATGACGACAACATGAGTGATAAGATTTTACAGTTGACTGAATTAGTTGAACAAAAAGATGAACATCTTAAATCACTGGAAGAAACTATCAAAGAACTTGAAAAGGCAAATTCCAATAAAGGTTCAATCGAAGCTTCGGATAGTATTGCTCAATTAGAAAATGTTGTTCAAAATAAAACAATTGAGATTGATCAATTAAATGCAAAATTTGATCAATATAAACTCGATTCAGAGAGTAAAATTAAAACTTTGCAAGAATCAATTGATAATCTCAAGTTAGCAGGTCAAGAAACGATCAATATTTATGAAACTAAAGTTTCTTCATTGGAAAAACAAGCTGAAGATTTAAAGAAGGGTGGCATAGAAACAATCACTTTATATGAAGAGGCAACAGCTAGAATTGCTGAACGCGACGAAAAAATTAATACGTTGGAAAAAGAAGCAGAAGAATTACGATCTGCTGGTGTGGAAGCTATCGATGTATATGAAAAAACAATCGAAGAAACTAAAAGAGAAGTTGAGGAAGTTAAGAGTCAATTACTTAAAAAGGATGAAATCATTACATCTTTATCCAAAGAAACAGATAGATTAAAGTTAGTGTTAAAAGAGTTGGCAGAAGCAAAGACAAAATTGGAAATGAATGATAAACGGGAAGAGGGTCTTCGAAATGAATTGGCGGATTTACAATCAGGCTTGGAACACATGATGCGTGCAGATGCAAAATCAAGAGAACGTATCTATCAATTGGAAGATGATGTTCGTGAGTCGCAAGCACTTGTTAATAGACAGTTAGAGGAAATAAATGCTCTAAAAAATAATATGCAAGATTTAATGAATGCAAATAATAATAATGAGGAAATTGAAAAAATCAAGGCAGTTTTCGAAAGTGATGCAAAGAGATTACAAGAAGAATTAGAAGAATTAAGAAAAAATTTATCAGAAGTACAAACTGAAAAACGTTCTATTGCGAGTGAAACAGATTCTTTGAAGGATGAGAAAAAAGTTTTAGAAAGAAAAATGCAGGAAAGTGAACGTCAAAAAAATGATATTATTGCCGAGTTAGAAGCTTTAAAAATTCGTAAAAAGCAAGATGAAGATGAAAAGAATCAAATCGTATCTCAATTAGAGGAATTAAGATTAAATGTAACTAAAGATGAAGAGCAAAAAAAGCAATTAATCCAAGAATCGAATATAGAAAAAAAAGCCCTTTTTGAAGAATGCGAGAATACAAAAAAAGAATTGATTGCAACACGCGAAAGTGCTGAAAAGGAACTTGAAGAGTTACAAAAACAACTTTTTGATTTGATTAAGAAAGCTGAATATGCTGAGCAATTGAAGTCTGAATTAGAAATCAAAGCTCAAGAACTGAAAAATTTGTCAGAAAACTTTGAAGAAGCTAAGAATGAAAGTGAAAAATTGAAAGCCTCTCAAGAGGAAGTTGCACAGAATAACCTTGAAAATCTTAAGACAGAATATGAAAATCAAATTAATGTTTACAAAGTGGAAAATGATCAATTGAAACAAAAGATAAAGGATTTGGCGTTGGCAAATAATAATATTCCTGATACCTTACAACATAATACACAAGGATATGAGAAAAAGATCGCTGCGTATGAAGAACAGGTTGCTGGTTTCAAACATATTGTCCATGAATTGACTCGTGAAAATGTATCAATTTCTGGTGAAAATAAAAAGATCTTAGCAGAACAGGAGAAGTTAATGGAAGCTCATAAGCAAGTTGAAAATGAATGTCTTAAGTTGATGGATGAATTAGAACGTTTGCACAGTGAATCACTCAATGGACAGTACATGATAAATATTACACCATCACATACCGATAATACAGATGGAACTAAATCAGGAGAAAATCAAGAAAATTCAGAAAATAGACAAAACGGAGAATCTCAAACAGCACAACAGAACATTAATGGGCAACTTGCCAGTGGCGATTTAACGCGTCTTCAATCACTTTTAGCTGAGAAGCAAACACAATTAGAACGTCTTTCTTCAATGCATAACTCAGAAATACGTGAATTGCGTAAGAAAGTATCTGAATTAGAAAAATCAAAAAAACGAGAAATTAAATCACTGAATAAAGACGTGGCTGAATTAGAATCGTTAATTGAAAGTAAAATATTTCGGGAAGCAGATTTGGAAGAGGAAATTCAACGTGAACGTGGACATTCAAAGCGATTAAAAGATGAAGTTGAAGAATTGCGCGAACAAATAAACGAAATCAGAAATTTAGATAATTCAAATAATGTTCTAGAGGCAACAATTGTTGGTAATGGTTTGATCTCTAAATCTTCTATTAAATCAAATGGGGTTGAGGACGGCACAATATATTGTGAGATTTGTGAAGAAGAAGGTCATGACATCATCAGTTGCAAAGCATTTTTTGGTTCAAATTCGTCAAATGTAACAGAGGATAAGAAATCAGATGATGATATACAAAACGAAAGTGCTACCGAAGACAGACCGGTTAGTAGCTTTTTTTCTTTTTTTTTAAAAAAAATTGTTATACAATAGTTAATAATTTATTTTTATTTATTGATTTTATATAGTATTGTGATAACTGTGAGGAATTTGGACTTCACTGTACAGAAGAATGTCCAAATCAAAATGAGACATTTTAATTTTAACAATAATTTTAAAGGGAGATTTCATTTCTTAAAAAATTTCTACTCTATTTGAATCATTATTTCTAAGTTAATTATAATTAATTTTTTATCATACTTTTTAACTTTTTTTTTTTTTAACCTTTCCAATGTTAACGTTATTACTATAACATCTGTATAATTACCAATTAATTATATTGCAATTTAGCAATGAAGTTAATCTTTTTAAATTATTTTTTTTTTTTTTTATAAATTGTATTATACAAATTCTTTTATTTATGATAGATTTTAAAATTATTATTTATTTCTTTTTTTTCCCCAAACATTTACCCCTCCCTTAAAAATGAATTTTTAATTAACTATTTTTTGATTGTCGTGAATGGATTGTTTCAATCATAAATCATTATATATATATAAAAAGTCTTTTAGCATCACATCATCTATTTATTGAATCAAAAAAAAAAATTTTTCTTTATTAATAAAAATAAAAATTATTTAATTATAAAATTTGCTTGATAGATTAAATTACTTCAATTTTTTAAAAAATATGACGTTATTAATAAAAATAAAAAGGTTCGTTATTTTTCACTCAACTTTACTACCAAGTTTCATTTCTTTCCTTGAATTCTTACTAACTTTAACAACATAAGGAACAAAACCTAATCCCCATTTAATATTATACTCGTTTTCTTTACGTAATAATATCACCCTAATATAACTACTGAATACAATCCAATAATAAGTACCGAATGCAGTACCGATATGCCACCATCCATGTAATTCCAATAAATGACTTAAAGGCATCCCAATTTTATGACGAGATTGTCTTAATTGATGACATGCTATATTATCAATGTTCCAAAACAAAAATCCAAGTCCAAACATCGTCCAAGCTGTGAATAATAATCTTTTCATACGAATTTTGATTGAAGCTTTATGTATTTGAGTTAATAAATAATAAGAACGAAAATTTATAATCGAAACTAATAATGCATATGATACTTGATGAAATACTGGATCATTGATATATAGATAAGCTGCTGTTACACCTGACGCGTATGTAAATAAAGCTAAAGGTAAATATAACCCAAATCTTCTTTTTTCTCCCGTTTCAAAACTATGAATATCAAATGAAAAAAAATTAGGGTTCAATTAATTAAATGAATTTAAATTTAATGGAATAGCACTTACATGTTGTGCGTTAGGATGCATGTTGTATAGATCACTATAATATTAACCAAAGTTAATAATTAAAATGAATTCCTTTTCCAAATTTTTTGGGAAAATACCCTTACTTGGAAGTTCATCTAACAATTGGAATTCGTATAACAAAGTCATGTGAAAACACCAAGATCCTATCCCGACCAATGCAATTCCAGCATATCCGAGCACATTACGAAATGATAGACCATATTTTAACGTGCTGTGAATACCAAAAATTGCCAAGCTAACTAGAAGAAAAAATTCACTTTGTCAGTCTTCGAAACCCTTTTTTTTAATAGGTAAATGATTTTTAACACTTACTGAAAATGAGATTTGTTGTTGTGTTAATGAATTCGGCAATATACTTATGAACTATATAATTTTCCTTTACATATCAATTAAATAAAAATATTTTGAGAAAAAAAAAAAATTTCTAAAATTTACGAAAAAAAAAAAAAAAAAGGCCTCTAATAATTCACAAGCCCAATAATTAATTATTTAAAGTGAAATAAATTATTTTATTTATTATATAGTCTTACTTCACACCAGTCCAAAGTTGCCGTTCTAAAAGTATATGTCATCAGATAACTAATTGTTAATAAAAGAAGACTTTTTTTTTTTTTTTTTTTTACTTACGGATCTCCCCAGAAGTGTTCTTTCGTTTCTTTCGTTTCGGACATTTTCAAAGTAAAAATAAAAATAATAATACCCTCCCAAGAAGGAAGAGAACAGGAAATATTTAACATATCCATTTAATCAACTAACCAATAACATTTCTGTGTTGCATATCTAGATTTTAAAACACAATTACTTATTTTAATTAGAATCAAATATAAAATTTCGAAATTTATGTTCCCAAACACGTGATCTATAATGACCCGGATCGGATATTAGGAAAATTAATTTCCGATGAATTTTACTGTGCGATGTAAACAGATCAACTGATTGTCAATAAAATAAACAGAAAAGCGTGTTTCTCTTTCTAAAGATGAGCTCTCCTAAGAAACCGAAAATTAGTTTGAGGTATAAATACCAAGATAACGATCCGGTACGAATACGTCTTTCTTCCGAAGAACCCAGTGTTTCAGATATTGAAACAAAAATCATAAATCGATATAATTTAAAACTTCCTACTGTTGCAGACTACGAAAAGTTAAATGAAACCTTATTTAATAATTGTGGAAATAACTAAGTCTCGCTAAGAGATAATTATAGAATAACAAAAGATAACCCTATTATTGTCGAAAACGTTGAAGGTTAGTAACATTAAATTGCATGTTGATTTATAAGAGAAAATTTATTGTTCTTAATGTTTCAAACTCACTTAAGTTGATATTCTCTATTTTCATCTGTTAACTTTAACATAGCTCAAGCACTTAACGAAATATGGGTCCGTTATGAAGATCAAACCATTACTTTGAGTCAACAATTGTTAAATTATGGAGGGGTAACGATACCTAATGTGAAAAACTGAAAGGGTTTATCAAATTTTGGTTGGATATATCAGAAAATATTACGCTTTAAATTCAGAAACTCCTATTTCTGAATTGTATAATACAAACGAAAATGCATTAGAGATTGTAATTGATGGTAAGTATTATATACGATCAAAATTGGATTATTTACAACAATGTTTTAATTATGATCTTTCATTACCAGATGTCACGAGTAGAATGTCAAAATTAGCCATCCATGATAAAGATGAACCTAATTTTGAATATGTATCTCTTGCATTCAATCATGAATTTAAAGATGATTCAAATTATGTTCAAAATTTTCATAATTATATTACATTATGTCACCACAAATCTAAAGACAGAGATAGTTACATGCCTTATATTTCCATTGTACAATCCTCAGGTTATGGTAAATCGAGACTCATTAAAGAATATGCAAGGCAGGTTTATACCTTATACTTAAATTTAGGTATTGATCTGAATTGTTTTCCCTGCCCATCAGCTTGTGCAAATAAATTTATCAAATTTTTTGAGCTTGCCAAGGATCCAGTAAAATGGTTCAATAATTTTTTAGTAATGGCTATTTCTTTGATAGATACTAAACATAATCCAAGTGAGTTTTGGGAACGTCATCCTAAAGATAATGGTGATTCTATTTGGGAACCTGCAATTGAAGCTACAAATGCTTGTGAAATTACCAAAAATCAAGAATTAAAAATATCAGTAGTGATGTAGGCTATTTGAAAAAAAAATTTGATATTCAATTTGACATCAAGATCTTGCTTTGTGTTGATGAGGGAAGAACACTCTTATAACATATTAATGATTATTTACCTATATCTTTATTTTGATGTTGAAGGCTAGCTTTTTGAAGAAGTACATGGCAGACAGAAGACTTATTTTTAGTAATATTAGATATTACTTCACAAATTTCAAATTTTGCACCTCCTTTAGGAAAGAATCCAAGCATAAGAAAGAATTCATGCATGAAAGAAATAATTGATTGTAAAATATTCATGCTATTTGTTTATATTTCTACTTTTAACTTTCTGGTTAAATCTTTAGGCAGTTATTATAATAAATTATTTTCTAAAGGAAGATCATGTTGAAAGACACTCAAAGATGCATATCTTAAAGGTTTTAAAACTAATAAAAGTGAAATTAAGGCATGGGAAAATGTTAAAATTCTTGTAAAATCAAAGTTACAAGAAGGAAGCAATGATTTTAATAATAGTGATGAAGAAATAAAAAATCTTATAAGTTTGTCTATTTTTGCTTTTTTATGTTTTGTGAATATCTTCCTGTTTGTTCACTTTTTCTTAAATCTTATTGCTAATCATCTTGGTACTTGTCTTGCAATCTCTCAAGATAAAATAAAAGTTATCTATCAGAATCAATAATACTAAAGCTGCTTATAAACTTTTGAATAATGACATATTGAATTATATTGCACAATCATTTGAACAAGGAATTGTAGAATCTGAAAAACATGGTGAATTAGTTGGAGAGTTAATTCTTATATTGATCTGTCAAAAACTTCAAAAAAGAAATAAATATGTAAAAAAAATTAGCTTTTTTTTTAGATATTAAACTTACAACCTTTTTGAATAAATTATTACTAATAATATCATATTATATGAAAATAATGCAGAGTATAATTATCTTAAAAATGCCAATGTATCCTTTACAAGATTTGTCACTATTGGTATTATTCCAGTTTATAATAATTTAATGAAAGGTTATCAAATTGGTATAGCATTTAATCTTAAACAAAATTAGCAAGGTGTTGACTTTTTGATATTTCTTTGTATAAAAGATGAAAATCAAAATGATCAATTTACATTTTAGACTATTCAAATTAAGAATCATAACCTAAAAACTACCGATCCTAACTTTAAAATAGATTTAATATCTAAATTAACACCTGAATAGTCTTTAAAAAAAGTAATCTAAAAAAATCAAGGTCTCCTTACCTTATTATATATTGGTAACTTAATGCACATTGTTATAGAAAGATATTGATCCAAAAGATCATGTAATACATATGACTAAAAGGCATATTAACTGCATCACATTAGATGACGAAGACGGCAAAGATAAAAGAAATGAATTAAATAAAGGTTACATGAAAAACCTAGAAGTCACCGAAAAATTCTATTATATTATTAATCATTTTGTATTATTAATTATTTATTATTTATAATCAATTAGTATTTTATTTATTTATATTAGCAAATTTAATATAAATAGGATAGCTTTAGAACTTGGTTAAAAAGAACAATATTAGGTAGCAATAGATAGTAGTAGATAACAAGAGATAATAATTTGTAAACAATTAGAACTCAATTAGTTTTTATCACTAACAAGATAGATACTAATAACAATTATATGCTAACAAATATAATTGTAGCAAATTTCTTATTCTTTAATAAAATCCTAAAAGTTTATCTTAAATATATATACTAGTATTTGAAGTAATAATTATTTGTAAACCCTTCAGAGCTCTTCCTAAAGTATCAAATAAAAGCTAAATCCCTTTGTTAATCTTGCGTTAATACTAATTTTCAGTCATTAGTATCATATACTTTGTTGGCACTATTTGCTTATATAGTAGGCCTTATATTGCAACTAGTCACTCTTTTACATTTTTTCACATATGTTTCGAGAAAAAATAATGAACAAAAGTTAATATGTTTTCTTTTTCAAATATATGTAAAAATTAATATATCGTACAAGAATCTAATTGATAATCCATATTTTCTGTTACATAATCTGACTAAAGACATTGTGTATGGTTCAGCAAAAAATCTTTCAAGCTAGTGATCACCTCTCCAGTTGATAATCAGTATTTCAGATATAAATTTGAATATATGCTAGCTAGAGATAAATATAATTATGACAAGTAATACTAATAATAAATTTGTTTAAAATGAAATACTTAAAAATTAACTATATAAAGTGTTTTTATACAATGTCAACAGAGCAATTAACCAGTCATAATGAAGTCACGTGGATGACGCAGTATGACAATCTCTTAATTCAGAATTCTGAAAATACTGAGAATTCTACGAATTCTGGAAATACGGAGGATCTGTGTAACTCTAAAGATCTTCCAAATACTGATAATAATCACAATTAAATGAAGTCTAAGGATATTTGATGTTATACGTATTTTTAATATTCTATATTTTATTATTATTTTTATTTTATTTTATATTTTTATTATTTTACGTATTCTC